CTTTAAACGTTTTATCCCGAAAATAAAATATGTACTACTTAAATTTCATGAAGACCCGAACAAAAAGAAAGAATTGCATTTTTGTTATTAACCTGTGCAAGTGAATTAAGAGATGATTGCTCTGAATCCTATCCAACAAAACCGGCTCTTCTGGTACAAGCCAAAACAAAATTCAGGAGAACATATCTAAACAATGTGTGTGTGAGAGTGACCTAGAAATGTAACGCACCAAAATCAATGGTGAATCAAGACTCTTATCACAAGGCCGGGAAAGTTATCTAGGGTGCCTGTGAATCTCCTTGTCGAGCAACTGGGTCACTAAACTTCAATTGTTAGTCGGATTTTTGCTATTCAAAATACTGTACAGTGCACGCAGTTCTTCTGAACTTGCCTTTTTGAACAGGCCATTAAGTATTCTGTCAATCCCAGTATGTAATGGGTGGCTTTCGGACATTTCTTGATCATTAGAGGGTTCAGACTTCACAATGTACTTGCCACATTGGTCTAAAGTTTGAGAATGTTGAGGAATCTGTACCAAGGGCCGTGATTTCCAGTACTCCGTACAAACTCGATCTTGGTCCATACCCTGAAGTACCTGCGTAGAAAGGAAGTGTAGATTGTGAGAGAGGAGACAAATTAACGAATCCGAGGCAAACTTTATCTTGTCACCTGCAAGTATTAGATTAGAAATGAAATAACAGTCCACGTTTTACCATTCACTATGATTCACCAAAGAACAGATTCTAAAAGAATAGGACGAGCTTCTGAGAAATCAGAACAGGAGAAAATCTTACTCATGCAATTCCCTACCCGATTCTCAGAGAGCCAAATCATTTCAAGCTTCTCTTCATAAATTTTTTAACAAAAAGTAGTCCACAAAGAGTTTAGCACCAACCTAACCCCAGTAGTATTAAACACCAATCTATGCGGAGTGAGTGAACTGCTACATTGACCAATGAACAAAAACGCATTCCAAATTAATTGGACAAAATGTGGTGGCAGTCACCTCAATCCCACATATACCGGTGCTTAGCACCACTAGGGGTAAATTGGATTACTTGTTTCTTTTTCCTAATTCTTCATAGATTTTTCTGCATCAGTTTTTATTCTCAGTCACCCTTTTTGCTTTAACATCTTAGATACTGTTATGAAAAGCCTGTTCATTTGTAAACAGAACAACCGGTTTTCTTTGATGCTTTCTCCTATTTCGTAAGGTTTTGGTGCTTAGACAGGCTAAACCATATTTCATATGCACGTCTGCATGTGCATGTGCAT